CAACCTCAGCTTCAGCCTGTCGCTTCTGCTCGTTCGTCTTCTTCTTCCATAAACGGGCAGTCACCCTTTCAGCCCCGTCAGTCTCCTGCCAAACACGGCCCCAATACCGTCACAGCTGCCGAGATGACGCAACGTGCTGCCACTCGTGCCGATGAGGACGAACCCGTATCTGTTTCACCTCGCCAAAGCTCCAACAACAACGGCCTAAGCACTACCACTGTCGTCGGAGCCATCCTCGGAGTTGCTGCTGCCGGCGCTGCCCTCACATATGGCTTTGCAAGCCACAATGCTAAAGAACGAGAACGAAAACCAAGACAGGAGTATGAGGCCCCGTCGCTCCCACGACGCTCAACCTTCCCCGAGAAGGCCCCAACGGTCCACAAACTACACCATGACGAGCGCCGAATTGCCTACGCTGACTATCCCCCCACGGCGTCACAATACCCGCCCAAGGCACTGCCTTACCGAGGACATGGTGGCTTTGCCCCTCAGGATATGTATCCAGAAGGATATCCTTTCCAGAAACACATGCAGAATGACTATGCTCCCCGCAAGATGCACCACGAGTCGTATCCGCCAAGGAATCTCGGCTATATAGAAGATGACAGCAGTGAGGATTCTCCAGACGAGCCGGTCCGCCCCATTCAGTACCTGACGCAAGCCCCTTATGATGAGGAGAATCCATGGTCCTCCGAGTCTCGAGCCAGAAGTCGGAGCAGAACTCGGAGTGTAGCCAAGAGTACTGCAAAGAGTGTTGCTGCGAAGAGTGCTGCTCCAAGCACAAGAAGTGTTGCGAAGAGCACTGCCAGAAGCGTTGCGCCTTCTCGGGCCCGATCGCGAAGTCGAGCCCCAGATGAAGGATATGAGACCACCCGAAGTCGACGCTCATCAAGGCACCCTCCTCCAGAAGACGCCTATGAGTTCGTTGAAACACGCAGCCGCCACACCTCGAGAGCTCCGGACGATGGCTTTGAGACACGAAGCCGTCGTGCGTCAAGGCCTCCACCTGAGGATGGGTTTGATACACGCAGTCGCAGGTCGTCACGACCTCCAGAGGATGGCTTTGAAACAAGAAGCCGTCGGTCTTCCAGGCCTCCTATAACTGACAAGTCTAGGAGCGTAAGAGCCCGCAGCGAAGCAGGTGTTAGTCGCAGCAAGTCAGTAGTATTGGTGGACGATCTCCGAAGTGAGGCACCCGTCAGCCGAAAGTACGACGACCGCCGAAGTCATGCAGGTTCCAGAGCGCCCAAGACATCACAGTCAGTTGTCCGTGGTCACCGGCCCCCGTATGACGATGAGCGTACATACTTTTCAGCTCGGTCACGTCCATCTTCACGAGCTCCGCGTCGATCCTCCCGCACTGAGGTGGAGGCCGACATTATGGAAGCACCAGAGGTCCCCGAGGTGCCTGACGCCCCTGAAATTCCTTTGGATCCCGATGTCTACGAAGCCCCCGACGTGCCAGACATGATGCCGAGGAGTCGGGCCAGGAGCCGGTACAACGTGCCTCGGATGGCCACTGGACCTGATTACCCACACATGGGCTACCCAAGCAAGGCTCAGAGCTACGTGTCTGCCAGGAACGTGTCGCTTCCAATGAGCGGCATTGGTAGCAGCCACGCTGATTGGGATGACGATATGGTCAGTGTTGCTCCAAGCGACAGTATCAGCTGTGTTGGAGTGAAGCCGAGCAGACGAAGCCGCAAGATACGATAAAGAAGAATTATGATTATGAGATGCATTTCTACGAGCGGCGATTAGAACGACACGATTGACGAGTTGATGGACGGATAGAAAGCGATCAAGGCATGACTATACCTGACCAGATTGGTCCGGCAGAATGATATGGATCAACTGGCAAGCAGTATGTTGTTTACAGTCCACAGATGGAGCTTCATGGGTTTCTGTTTCAAGGATAGCAGCTTGGATCTAATCTCATGGGGTATTTGATTGGCATATGAGGAGGCGTTTGTGTGTTACTACTATTATGGTGTCTGGCAGGGCCCATGGCTTTGTTTCCGGGCTTTCTTTGGTGAATGGAGGTTTTGCGATGACTTCACGTTTCCTTGAGTAAGACACATTGGAATATAGCAGTTTGTTTAGTTGACCACAAGCTGTAAGTATTGGATGTCAAGACTGGACACATGACGGAACATGAAGAAAGACAGAAGACATATAAGTACTCAGAGATGCGCATAAGAGACGACACAAGTATACTTTACAATACAATACAGGAGACATTGGCATTGCAAGATTACAGCCAGCGGTCTATAGCCGTGTCATTTACCGCCCAGAGCATAATCCTTGACACCTCCACTGGCTACCCCTCAAGACTCCGAGCCCTTGCCCCTCTATCTCGCATCATCGCGGTGCAGCCCACTCTTTGCAACACCCTCATGATCCATCATTGTTGGTGTTTTTAGTGTGGGGGTCACCATGAGCGTCACATCGATTTAGTGTAGTACATGGGATATCACTGACTAGTCAATTAGTCTAGGCACTGAGGGAGCAGTAATATCCCACTCTGATTATTATAAGAATTGGTCATTGACAATTCTCACCGTTTCATTATTATGGTTTACACCAATTCACGGAGATGGAGGGGCAAGATGAGGAGAGACTCTTCAATATTTATATTTGTGGGTGAGACAAGACTTGAATGATCTACAAACTTGACCTACACAAGCTTAAAGAGTCACTTGTCCCACTTCAATCCATTCACTAGGCTAGCACTATTCTCCAGGATTTCTGGGTACCCAAGCCCAAGACTCACACAAGCTTTCCCCTCCGGTTCTCGGACATTTTCCCCCCTCGATCCAACCGCAGCGCCACCAATTCACATCAAGTCAAAAAAAAAAAGTTGTCCCGCCTATATTTTCTGTATACACTTGTTATTCGGTATATATCGGCTTCAAATATACCGATTCAAGTCTATATGTCTTTACTTTTTACTCTCTTTATCCATCCCATATCGATTTCATCTGCTAAACACTATAATGCCAGAGATTGGTCTTGGCGAGTCTATTCCTCCCGACACGGCGCATGTGAGTCAAGACCAAACAATTCAGTGTATATCTATCATGAAACTATTTTACTGATCAATGTCCTCAGGCCGTCAGTGTCTCTTTGCCAACATGGAAAGCAAATGTCGGATACGAAGAGGGTGAGGATTGGGTTGTGAACCGTATGACGACGGGTTACCCTCGGTGAGCCATATCAACTGTCATGTTATACGAAGTGCTCTCGCTTACATGAAATTCCAACAGATTCTTTGTTCATAAAGGTATTCAAGCTTTCGCCAAAGACATCGTTGATCGCTATGGCAGCCCTAGTCAACAGGCCATGCTCTTCCCTACACCGCGAGTGGCAAAACGCTGTCTTGACTTCATCCTCCAGCGAGTCTCTCCTGAGCTGGCGAGTCAGGTTCGCATCATTGACTTTACTCTGGACAAGTCAAAGGAGCTCTCGCCTGTACTGAAAAAACTCACTTCCACAATCTCAGCTGTGGTTTATCCCTCCGAGATATTTCCAATTGCCAAGCAGTACTGGCAGCACACTGGTGAGGGTACATCCAGTAGACGTGCTGAGTTCTGTCACGGCCTGTTCAAAGATGATCTCCTTATCCCAGCGGCTCGATCACGGACTCCTCCTGAAGCCTCACAGGGCAGGCCTTTCCGCGGTCCAAGACGCTATACTCGCCCAGGCTCAATCGATGGTGTCTCCTCTCCGGCCCCCTCAACACCCAAGCAACCTTCGCCGGAGACTCCTGTCGAGTCTCTCGAGAGCTCACGTTTTCTTGAGGAGCGTTTTGGTAGAAACCTCGATTTGTCCATGGTTGAGCGTGCCAAGTCTGCTATCCGTAGACGTATCGCTGGAGCAATGGCTCATGACGTCGATCTGAACAATGGCCCTCTACCTGCAATGACATCCAACACTCGTGGCATGCCCAACCTTGAGGAGAGCGATGTCTACCTTTATCCTGCCGGCATGAACGCCATTTATAATGCTCACCGTGCGCTCCTTCACGCAAGAGAGCCGGCACAGAGTATCAACTTTGGTTTCCCTTATGTCGACACACTCAAGATTCTGCAAAAGTTTGGTCCTGGTTGTCTCTTTTATGGACATGCCTCTGCGGAAGACCTCGATGATCTCGAGACACGACTCAAGAACGGCGAGCGGTTCCTCGGCCTCTTCTGCGAGTTCCCTGGAAACCCCCTTTTGACATGTCCTGACCTCACTCGCATCCGCAAACTGGCAGATGAATACGATTTCGCAGTCGTTGTTGACGAGACAATTGGCACCTTTGCCAATATCAACGTCCTCCCGGTTGCAGATGTAGTTGTTAGCAGCCTCACAAAGATTTTCTCGGGCGACTCCAACGTCATGGGTGGAGGGCTTGTTCTCAACCCCGAGAGCAAGTATTACCGCATACTCAAGACTGCCATGAGCGAGATTTACGAAGACAACTACTGGCCTGAGGATGTCATCTTCATGGAGAGGAACAGTCGCGACTTCGAATCTCGAGTGGTCCGCATCAACGCGAATTCGGATGCTATCTGCGAAGTGCTCCGAACACATCCCCTTGTCAAGAGCATTTACTATCCCAAGTACAACGATTCCAAGTCTCACTATGAAAATGTCCGTTTGCCAGATGGCGGATACGGCGGTCTACTTTCTGTCGTGTTTCAGCGTAAGGAGTATGCTCAGGCCTTCTTTGACGCATTGCCTCTTGCAAAGGGACCTAGTTTGGGAACCAATTTTACCTTGGCTTCACCGTACGTTCTCTTAGCCCATTACCAAGAATTGGAGTGGGCTGAGCAGTTTGGCGTTGATCCTTATCTTGTTCGTGTAAGCGTTGGTTTAGAGGAGACTAGTGAACTTCAGGACACTTTTACAAACGCCTTGAAGGCGGCTGAGGCTGTGTCAGTTACGTGCTGATGATAAAAAGCAAATAAAAGTGCTGTTTTCCTTGCACATAATTATCTATCTGTCTATGAAGTTCATGTCATTACTGTCCCGTATCGATGCAGTCTTCCGTCGTAAATCTAAAGAACGATGTTAGTTGACTGTGTACCCTTTACTGGTAGATAGATGACAGAACTTACAGATGTCATGGTTGTTTCTAATCCCAAAATCCGTGTCAATCCAAGTCGCTCAAATGTGCCCTGATGATAATAATAGTCGTGTCTATGTCTGAGCTTCTTCAGCTCACATTATGCAGCATTCCTGGTGGACATAACCAGGCCCGTAGTCCTCGATACCACGCTCAATCTCGTTCGCACGCGCTTTCTCTTTGACCTCCTTTGCAAAATATTTCTTCATGTACTTTTGTAGCTCGTAGTCAAGATTCATGGCAGAAGCCTTGAGGACCACATCTGCTCTGCACAATGGACAATGCTTCTCCTTTCGGCGCTGGATCTTGATGACACAACGGATGCAAAATACATGTTGGCAGTCGAGACGAACAGGCATGTAAGCCACTGAGAAACAGACTGGGCAAAGATAGTCGTTGAGCTGAGGAACCTTGGATACGAGCTCCCGCGACATTTGTGCGCAGACATCTCTAGCAATGGTGCCTGCTAAGAGTTTGTCTGAGTGAACAACGGTAGGGAACTTTCTAGCAACTCCCAGTGCTGTTCGTTTGTCGAATTCTTTGGCCATGTCAGTACCTCTGGCTTGATAAGCAGTTGGTATATCCTACTTACTCTTGAGAATCTTGGCGACGGCTGTCTTGTTAAGCTCCTGGAACTGCATGTTTTTGAGAAGGGACGCATTCAAGTTAATGAAGCGGGTGAAAGCTGCTTTGCTCTCGGGAAGCTTGAAATCCTTGACAAGATTTTGCTTAGCGACCTGATCCTGGAACCATTGCAGCTGCCTCAGAGCGACTTGACTTGAGCGTTCTCCATGGTCTTGCTCATGGGTAGCGAAGAAGATCTCAGCGTCCAAATACAGCTCGAAGATTTGTCGCCACCGTGCAAGATCTGTCTTTGAAAATCGTTTCGGCTTTACGACCTGTTCAACCTCTTTTCCAAGCGCTACGATTTCCGAGGTCATGGTTTTCTCTTCCTCCATTTGCAAAGCATCAAGGTTGTTGACATCGCTCTGAAGCATCTCGAAGAATTCGGCATCGAAAGTCAGGGGAACCTCGATAATTTCGTACGTTCCTTCGGTTGCACCATTAGCAGGTGAGGTCGACGAGGCTTCGATCGAGCCATTGCTTGTAGGTTCGGCGATGGGTTCTGCTTGCTCGGAGTCGCTTCCCAGCGTTTCGGTAACTTTAACAGTCTTTTCGTCGGCGAGAGCAATAGTGAGCTTGTCGTTGGCTTCGTCGGCGAGCGCATCGACCGTTTCGGCGGAGGGGGCAGAGGCGTTCTTGACAACGGTTTCGGCTTTTGTGGCATCCTTCACAGAGCCCGAGTCTGGCGATTTAGTGACAGGCTCGATATGCGCCGGTTGGTTCTGGGGGAGGTTGATTGCGATCTTGTTGAGAAAGTCGCGCGTGTTGGGCGCAAGCGAGGCATCGACTGGGACACCATCTTGAAGATGGACCTGTACGATGAGTTTTGGGCGAAGGTGAGAGTCGGCACCGCCTGTGGAAAGTCAGTCAGTTTTGGGCTGACGGAGACAACCGTTGAAAACGTTGGGGTCAGTTCGTCATGTCGTACCGTTGAGTTTATACTTCAGGGCCACAGGAGACGTTTCATCGGGGTTGAGGAGCTCGCGCAACGTCTCAGGGTCGAGTCCAAGCTCATGTAGCTCCCGCGCGACCTTCTTGAGACATTTCTTGAGCTGGCTATAAGGAATAGCATGATCTACCCAATGAGCAGGGAAGTCTGTGAAGTTTAATTAGACGCCAGGGTGCACAGAGGTGAAAGTATTGTGTAAATAAGGTATATTGAAGATGAAATAACCCGAAAATGGACGGAACATGTGAATTAGACGAACCTTGAGCTCGCAGGGTCTCTTTGAAATCGTGGCCGAATTTCATGGTTGTCAAATTGGTGTAGCAGCAAATTCAATGTCAGGAGTTTTCGCATGAGAGAGGCACGCGACCACTTGCAGTATGAGGCAGTTGGTGGCAAAAAGACGAACAAGGCAAAGGAATAAGAGCAGAACAAGCGACGCTTAAGGCTGAAAGACTCAGATCGCAAGAGAAAAGCAGGGGAAGGATCAAGAATCAAGTCAGGAAAATGCGGCGCATGAAGGAGAAGAATAAGTGAGTGAGGGCCATTAGTTAACTAATGAGAGAATGAATGAATAATGAATGACCTCGTGCGTGTAAAAAGATCGATATCAAAGAGAGGGAGAGACCTAACTCGATGCAGACTCGCCCACGTAAATATTGGTACCGATTTCGGGTAACTCATGGTATTTTTTCCTCTGAATGGTGTCTTTGGAAGAGGGAAGAAACGGGTAAGGATGAGCCTGGAGTGGGCTCTCGGCAATCTCTTGCCGGCAACGGTAGAGGCGTTTAAACTGAATGATACCTTTCATGAATCAGACCAACTGCGTGGTTCGACCTTTTCGCTGACCGAGACTCTTCAAGCCAGGCCTAGACCAGACATTTTCGCATTCCCCCGATCGAGTTTTGCATTATCGACGTTGATGATTGGTTCATCATGGTATAATCAGTGGTGCCATGGACGAAAATGTGGTCAGATGACTGCTAAAAACAACCTGTATGACAATGCAAATCTTGTCGAAAAGTCATGATGCCAACAGCCAGGCTGCAATAGATTGCCATGTTCATACAATAACTGGACTACCGACGTCAAGGGCCCTTACTAAATAATAAATTTCTCTTGCGAACCATGTCTGTGCTTCGTTAGCTCATCGATCACCCGTATAACTAGTCCATTCTCTTCAGCCTCGTGTGCGATCCAGGCTTTACCATTGGTAGGCCAAGGTTTCTACATCATTTCCTTGAGGAACCGCCAACAGTGAAATCAGAGATGCAAATGGTATGAAGGCGTTAATCTGGAAAGCTCAGATGAGCTCTCGTAATTTACACCGGCATTAACCTGATTCATTCACCATACGGAGGATATCTCGTAATGGTGTAAGGGCGATATGATAGAGAATGGAGAACCTACCACTGTTAGTCTTGGATATTCGTTACTTGTTAATCAGGTACAATGCTACCTTTCGTTAATTCATGACTAAGGTAAGGTAGCTCGTGTGGGAAGCGAACATGTGATAGTAAGAAATGATAGCAATCAAAAAAAGAACCACACTATTCCCATCAAGATTGAGACTCTCTTCCACAAGCTTGGATGACTCTTTCTGAATCATCCGGCGTACAAAGTAAGATGCACGGCGAGTAACAAATGAGCTTACACGCTTCTAATGGATCTTTTCTGGAAAGGAAAACTTGTCAGCCAGGGAAACTGCGGGGATAGATCCTGCGGGGATAAAGCAAATTTATTTGGTCTGAATAAATTGTCTATCATTGACTTTGCCCCGCGATGCCCCTCCTTCTCACAAGGCTCCAAGTCAAGACCACCTCATATAAATTACTGCCTTTTTTATATTATCTATTTGTTTGTTTGTTTATTTATTTATTTACTTTACTTTACGATAAAACAAATTCAATCGAAATTCTCTCTGGCCCCGTGTTACTCGTTCAGGTAGTAGTCATGGGAGCCCAACAATCCTCAGAAAGCTCCAATGCCGGTGGCCCAGCTCCCGTCGCAAAAACTTGTTACTACGAACTGCTTAGTGTTGAGCGTTCTGCTACAGATGATGAGTAACTCTCCCCAAATATATCATCTCTCTAATCTTCTTCCTACTGACCCTTTCTTAACTAGGATCAAGCGAGCTTACCGCAGAAAGGCACTCGAGCTTCATCCTGATCGCAACATCAATGATGTCGAGACTGCTACACGCCGCTTTGCCGAAGTCCAAACCGCTTACGAGATCCTATCCGACCCTCAAGAGAGAGCTTGGTACGACTCACATCGCGATGCCATCCTCAGTGGAAGAGACGGCGACGATGACGGGCAACCTACTACTTTCCGCAATGTGCGACTCACATCGGCTGAGGAGATCATGGGCTTGATTCGCAAATTCAACGCCGCGGTACCCTTCGACGACGAACCAACAGGCTTTTACGGAATCTGCAGGGAAACTTTTGAACACTTGGCCATGGAAGAGGAGGCTGCTGCTGACAACGACGACCTTGATGTCCAAGACTACCCAACTTTTGGATCCTCTGACGATGACTACGAGGATGTTGTGAAACCGTTCTATACCGCGTGGACTGGTTTCACAACCGTCAAGTCGTTCGCATGGAAGGATAAATATCGACTTTCCGATGCCCCCGACCGTCGTGTCCGCCGTTTAATGGAGAAAGAGAACAAGAAGATGCGCGAGGACGCCATTCGCGAGTTCAACGATGCTGTCAACTTCCTCATCGGCTTCGTGCGCAAACGAGACCCCAGATACCTACCCAATTCGCAAACCCAAGACGAGCGCCAGGCTTCCCTTCGAAATGCTGCTGCTGCTCAGGCCGCTCGGTCGCGTGCTGCGAACCAGGAGCGCATGGCATCATTCGAGGTTCCTGAATGGGCCCAGGCTCGATCCGACGACAATGGAGCAGAGGGAGGGTTCTCAGAATCTGAAGAGGAATTAGAGGTTGAGATTCTGGAGTGTGTTGTATGCAACAAGTCGTTCAAGAGCGAGAAGCAGCTTGAGGCGCACGAGAAGAGCAAGAAGCACATCAAAGCTGTCCAACAATTGCGTCGACAGATGAAGCGCGAAGGTGCTGAGCTGGAGCTTGACGAGGTGCCATCACCACTTGAGGCAAACGCAAACAAGCAAAAAGACGTTACACCACAGAAAGACAAGGTTAAAGAGGAGTCATTGGGTTCGACTCAAGGTGAAACTGTATCACCTTCTCCAGCGGACTCGTCTCTTTCCGCAACAGCTGCCGAGTCTGCAGACGCATCCGACGACACCGACTACGCACCCAGGGATGTTGTCGAGGAGAGGATAACTTCGGCCAACAAACCCAAAACGACTGACAATGTTACCAACGAAGACGATGAACTATCAGCATCAGTTCAGGATCTGTCTGTCGATGAGCCTGCGCAGGGCAAGAAGATCGGCAAGGCCAAGGCGAAGCGCGCCAAGAAAGCTGCGGCTTCACAGTCGCAGAAAGAAGAGGATGTATGTTGATCGACATTAGTCCTTCTGACACAAGCTGACAACAGATCATAGCCACGGTGCGGAGTTTGTGGGGAGACTTTCGCATCTAGAACCAGGCTGTTCGTCCATATTCGAGAAGAAGGACATGCGGAACTAAAATCAGTAGCTGGGGGAGGTAAGAAGAAGAAGAGGTGATGAAAGATTCAACGCGTACGAGATGCGTATCGCATTCGATCATATCACCATACGGCGCGCAACATCAGACGACAGGCACCGCATGAAGAACGCGTCGTATCACGCAGCCTGGAATGACAATCTCCGAGCAATAATCGTGACAAAAAAAAAAGGTTATTCAAATCGAATTCATTATCTATCCCGACGTAACGCCTGGTCCTGCCAATCATTATGGGGTGCAGGAAAATACAGCCAAAAAAACGCCGGGCCCAATAACCAATCTAGGCCTCTTGAATGGTATCCGTATCATCGTCACTTAGCGTTTCAACTTCGTCGATTGCGCCTTCGCGACCCTCGCTTGAGCCTCCATGGACTGCGTTTCGCTCCGCCACGTGGATGATCGACTTGCCTTGTACGTGCTTTACACCGCGTTTCCAGTCCTGCCAGTCTTCTTCGCTTCGAATCAAGAAACCTATGAGCATACTGGGATCCATCTCGCGGACATGGATGCGGCGCAGCCGAGCAGTATGACACGATTCTATCTCTTCACTGGTGTAATCCGTTGGGTTCTCGTGGTAGGGAAGGGCGGGCCTTGTATGGTGAGGATCAAGGTAGAATAGAAAGGACCCTTGCGAGCCGATGAAGTAATGGGATGATGATGGACGACCTCTGTGTATAGTCAGTACTGTGTGTGTACGAAGAGTAGCAGACAGTACTCACCCTGCGATACCAACGGATTGCGGCATCTGAAGAGCCGCAATCAAAGCTTCCCAATACACGGGAGTGATCTTATCCAATCCCAGCCGAGTTCCCACCAATACAAGCGTGGGGTGGAAGGCTTCACCTGTTGGCTTCGCAATTTTCATAAAATCATCTTCGTATACATCAGGTCCATCGCCAGTGGAGTATACTCTAATTAAGGGCTCGTGTGAATTCGCCAATGCTCTTCACGAATATGTATTAGTACGGGCATCGCGTGTAAAGGTGGCGAGGACTTGGACGTACTGGATACAGCGGGCTGTTGCTGATGGGCCAAACCATTCACCTGGATACTTGCCACATGCGCTGGCACCATGTCGAACAAAACTGTGGATTGAGTATGGAGCCCTTGGATCATCGGCGAAGTCTTTGAGGATTCGGCATTCTTCTTCGAGTGATTGTCCCTGACGCCAGTCTGTACGATGTTAGGCATGTGATATAGGCTACTGTGGCGGGCGCTTTGACTTGCCTCTCCCAAGGCGAATGAGTGCGATGGTGTTTGCAAGTAAACTTTGACCGGACCGAATCATGCATCCCCATCCGCTGTCCGATGAGAATGGACTCTGATCCCCTAGTTGACTCTTGAGTCTCATGGACAGGGACAATGCAGATGTGGCTTGGGGGTTCGTGGAACGGGTAATGGGCTCGAACTCAGACCTGTAAGTCATCCATATCCTTGATTCGAAATCATTTATGAAGCCTGATGGCCATCCACCATCGTTCGACTGGTCATCGTATGCCAGTGATGATGAGAAGCTACTCGATATCGATTCTGGTGGGGTTTCTGGGGCGTTTGTCGGTATGTTGGACGATCGAGTTGCATCCTGATCTTCAGTGTCCGACTTTGGTGCTGGGGGCGGCGTCTGGGGATTATGTTCATCGGACTTTGTGTTTTTCTTGTCGCTTAGCTTGTAGGAACGTCCTAGACACCAGACTGGGTGATCGTGGGCAACATCGTTGGTAGGTTCTGGATCCCAGAACATCTGCACGATCCGTCGATAACGTCCTAGGTCGACATTGGCCATGGCGTTCTCCATGTTGATAGACATGGAATCTCAAGCTTTCATCTGTTTTCTCGTTCGTTATGGAGACGAGAAACTTGAAAACGCGATATAATAAAAAATGTAAGAGAAGTGCCTCGACAAGGAGGCAACATGAGGCTTCTGGCGGGATAGAAGGCAGCAGACGGGAAACGGGCAGATGGGGTCCTGGCTATGGGTGAGGTGAGCTTTGGCCTTAGCCCAGCTGGCAGTGAGTAGTCAGCTGGGGCCGGCGGACGGTGGGGGAGAGACAACCAAGTAGCTTGTGACTCGCACCCGGAAGCCAGCCCGTGAAGGGCGCCTGAGGTGAACTTCGGTTCCAGTGGATCCAATACTGGTTGTAGGTACTCGGTACCAACGCACGCGATATGGGATCTGGTGCACGGGCCACTCCTGACACGTCTCCACGTCAGACTCGATATGAGTTGAATTGCTTGAGTTGAGTTTATACGGCCTGTGACTGATGGAAATGCTGAAAATGTTTATGCTTCTGTACTTCTATATTCTATTTACACGTATGTATACGCGTTTTTCTAGGCTATTGTCTCTTCTTATCGATGCGGTGTTGTACAGGTGTTTTGTTGGAAAGTCAACTTCTTATACTCTGATTATTTATCTGGGTTTATTAAGTTGTTGGGTGAAATACGGTAATGTCAGTTTGTACCATATGGAGGCCAGAACAATAAAAAACACAAGCTCTAGACGCTCGAGACATAAGAGAGCATATGCAACTGTTTTTAATAATTTATTTTAGACGCATTTTGTTTTTAAAAAATTGCAAATGTGCAGTTATTGATATTGCTTCATGATCCCACCCTATACCCCCAAAAATGGTGACGGTGATTATCGGTACGTACCGCGGCTGCCTGGTCGCCCTTGCCTGTAAGCTTTTCCGCAAACGCTAAGGCGGTCCCGCCAAACAATACCGCCGCCTGCATCACGGCTTCCTTCAATGACACTTATCGATAGGACACGGAACTCCACCATTTCTTCCGAACCAATCGATAGACCAGCGGCAACGCAAAGCCCACCGCGGGGTGACTCGTTTTCTTTGCCATCGACAAAGATCTGTAACACCTTTTTTTCACCTGAAAAAAACAGCATTGTTTTTATGGTGCCCAACCACTATATAACCCAATCTGACCGCCACATCGCACACTCGAAGCCATGAAGGTCACCTTCCCTTAATCTTCCCATGGCCAAAAACAAGAGGGGAGCTCCCGCTTTCCGTGGCGCAAAGAACGCCAGGGGAGGACGAGGAGGCAGGGGAGCTTTTCGTGGAGGTGGGAGCTATTCATCAACGCCACCTCGAGTCAATTTTGTCAGGGAAGAAACTGGTACGGATCACCTTGAGGATCAATGCGCACATGCTGAAATGACCTGGACACTGACCTGATATATTACAGCTGGATTCACACTTGCCGACGAAGCTCGCCAGACGTCGCAACATGACCATTCAACATGGGGCAATTCCAGCCTACGCTTGCGACCGGTTACTTTCGTCAGCGCTGGACCTAGCGAGCCTTTAAAGTTACTAGATGCGATTGTTGACCAAGCCGGTGAGGAACCAGAAGCAATAAAGGAAGATATAGACGAGGAGGAAGAAGTAAACGAAAAGGAAGAGCAAGTCAAAGACGAAGGCAACCAGCTCGATGAACATAATTATGAAGACTCGACCGATGAAGTTGAGTTCATAGGGCCAGATGACCTCGAGGAAGCTATTCAAGCCGAGACTGTACCTGAAGAAAGCACACCACAAGAAGCACAATTCTTTTTTGATCTCACAGGAGACCAGTCAAAAAAGAAGCAGAAGCAACCTCCAGTGGAGATACCGGAGAGACCATCATCGAGAAGCAGCACCTCGAGCGAGGAAGTGCTTCTTTTCAAGGGCCGAGGTGCGCAGAGAAAGGTCCAATCTGTCCCTGACATCGACATGTTACAGATGCAGACCGAAATCCGCGTCGTGGAGCAGGCCATCATCGCCGAGCCGGCACCTTCAGCACAATCACCAGTTGCCGAACTGCAAACGGAATCAGTCTGTAACAAAAAACTATCCAAGAAAGAGAAGAAACAGAAGAAGCGTGAGAAACGGAACGCGAAAGCCAGATTTGATGACGAGGAGGATGCCATTCTCGCCGACTACATCGCCAATCTCAAGGAAAACACTGAAGTCGATGATTACTTCAAGGAACTGCTCGAAGGTGGAAGAGACTCGGACGATAGTGGAGTATCCGAGTCAGCCAACGCTGCAGGAGATGACTCGGACGAAGATACAGACGATGCTGAAGCGACTAACGGAGATGAGGCCCCTAGCGGGATCGATGACGAGACACTGGCAAGACTGATTGCCAGACAACAATTCGGTCACGATCTGGGTATGGAAGATGTGAATTTTGGAGACTCTTCGAGCGACTCCGACTCAGCTGATGACGACACTGGCAAGAGGACGAAACAGCGCCAGGCATTTGACGATGATTTTGATTTGATGGACTGGGATCGACCCAGCCTGCGCCGGCGCAAAGGCAAAGGAGCTCGAGCTCAGATCAGTTTCAATATGTCTGATTCCGAACTGGAAGCATCTCTCCAAACCAGCTGGAAGAACGATCGACTCAAGAAATCCGAGCGAAAGAAACAACGAGAGGAAATGCGTGCCCTCGGCATGCTAGGCAAAAAAGACCCTGACGATCTCCGGGTCAAGTACCCAGATGGAATGAATATGGACCAAGTCGCAGATGAGATACGAACATTCTTGATTGGCTCTGACGAACAGTGAGTTCTCATTCTGCTGCTCATGACTTTTAACTAACTGGACAGACTTAATTTCCCCCCGATGGATAACAACGCGCGCAAGATGGTTCACGAGCTGGCGAGCAAATTCAAGCTCAAGTCCAAGTCAATAGGAAAAGGCGACCAACGAAGACCGACACTTCACCGAACGAAGCGTACGCCCCCTTACGTTCCTGCAACATTCGATCAAGCATTCAAGCGCGTCAATCGCAAGTATCTTCCTCGGTCAGACAAGAAGGGCAAGAAAGGGAATCGCCTGCCGCCTGCTCGTGGCGGCACTTCCGTCGCGGCCGCTACATATCAAGATGGTGAAGTGGTTGGTGCTTCGGCGCCAGAATTGGGCATCGAGAATCGTGGAAGAGCCATGCTGGAGAAGATGGGCTGGAGTATGGGAACGGCGCTGGGAGCCTCGAACAACAAAGGTATCATGCAACCTGTTACTCATACAATGAAGCGGACGAAAGCTGGACTGGGATAGGAGTTGGTTAAAAGGTTCATCATATCACTTCAAGGAGTTGGGGGACGAATGCAATCCACTGTAGAAATTAGAATCGAATTGCACCCGGCACACATGTACAGTAAAAGGATGGGACACAAAGCTTATGTGCACGAATTCATTTGATCGAGACCCTATTCTCGATGTTTATTGTACAACCGCGAACCCCGTTGCCCGTGTGTGAAGACATTGCCCCCAGGAAATAAAACAAAACCATCCGTAACGCATTATGAGGCCCCTAAAACAGGGCTGGATCCCCGTGAAACCTCAGACTCATGACACCCTGATGCCACGCGTGAAAAACCAAATGCCCAAAACAAATCAAGCCATCAAAGCACTTATTTCGTCGAGGAAGAGTACTTGGTGACGGCCTTGGTACCCTCAGAGACGGCGTGCTTGGCAAGCTCACCGGGGAGGATGAGGCGGACAGAGGTCTGGATCTCTCGGGAGGAGATGGTTGACTTCTTGTTGTAGGCGGCAAGCTTAGAAGCCTCAGAAGCGACGCGCTCGAAGATGTCTGGACCAAGAGTCAGAACAAGTTGGAAAGGGGAAGTAAGTGAAGTGACATACCGTTGACAAAAGAGTTCAAGATGGACATGGCACGGTTGGAGATACCAGTGTCGGGGTGGACCTGCTTGAGGACTGAAGAAGCAAGTCAGTAAACGCGTTGCCAAAACAAGACGCGATTGAGATGGGAATTGGAACTCACCCTTGTAGATGTAAGAAGAGTAGGTCTCCTTGCGGGTCTTGGAGCGCTTCTTCTTGTCGCCAGAAGCGGCAGTCTTCTTGCCGGCATCCTTCTTCTCGGGGGCCTTGGAGGCAGTAGCGGGAGCCTTGGAGGCGGGCTTCTTGTCGGCAGCCTTGGGAGCCATTTCGAAAGATTTCAAAGATGAAGAGGTAGAAAAGGTTGGGTGGGTTGGTTGTGTTGATTGAGTAAGGACTCGTGCGTTGAGAGACAAGAAGATGCTGTTGTAGATGAGAAGTTGATGGCGAGATGAGAAGATCGGGGGGTGGGTTGGGTTTTTGTAGCTGGCGCGTTGTCGGTGTTAGCGGGTTACTGATTGCCTGGGGGTCGTGCGCACGCGTGCTTGCTTCAATTGCGCCTGCTTAGCGGCTGGTGGAGGTGATCTTGGAGGGGACCTGCCAGCCCCTCTTTTCTGTTGCTGCTGGTGAAATAAAAATTGGGTGACGGTTCTTTTTTTTGATTGGCTCTGCGCACTCGCAATCACGTTGTGAGCTTTACAAGGTTGCCCCCCCCACAGCATCCTTTCCGTCATCGTTTGATGGGAGCATCCATTCCCATTTTCATTTTCGCGTCGTGGTCTCTTTGCTTCCTTCGCGACCTTGTCACTCTCTTCCTCTCATCTCCCTCCCAGCTCTTGCGCCTCAACCCGGGTCATTCTTCTCTTGCCCTTTCACTTCTTTCCTTTTACATATCACTTCTACTCAGAGTATAGATACATTCATTCAAAACATGTTACATGAACCCATCATGTCCATCTCGTAGACCCGTTTAAAATGTCGTGATGACCCCAGATATGCCCGATTTTTGACGTGACAGCCTTGAGATCCGTAGTGAGCGTGAAGTCTATGTAAGTTGAGCCGTATACAGTCCAGATTCAGGTCCCTGACGCCCAGATCCGTTCGAGCATCCCTGTCTACGCGTCCGTTCCGTCTTGAAGGAAGGCTCCGGACTTTGGCCCGTCACGGCCGTAACGCATCGCCATTCGGTGTCGGTTGTCGTTAATCCTGAGGATGCCGTCCCGGCTTCTCCCCACAATCTGCATCCGTTTGAGTCCCGAGACGGAGATCTGTAGGGCTGTTGGCTCCGTCGTGACCGGTTCTTGACGGATCTCGAAGAGATCTGATAACGAAAAGTCGGGGTCTTTGATTTGTGGACCATCTACACATGCAATATACGCCACAGTACCTGAATCTGGGGTTCATGGAGTCAAATTGAGGCTTAAATCTATCTTAAAGTACCAAAAAAGGGGAAAAATTGCAGTTGTATACACCTTTCAATGGTGTATATGGGTCAACTCAAAGTGGAAAAAATACACAAAATATGCCTTGGTATGACCAAGATGGATCAACCTCACAAAACCAAAAGAATATCAGACCAAAATGGGTCAAAAAAGAAGGTCAAAGATCAGACCAAGTTGGAACAACAACTTCAAACAGATCAGGTGGAGGAATCAAGTCCAAAAAATCACGCAAACGAGAGCGCGACCGAGCAACAACAGAGCAACCGGACCAGACCAGTTCAAACGAGATGAGATGGACCTGGCAAAAGTTGACAAACGTGGGAGGGCCAAGGTATCGGAAAACTGCAGTGACTCTGACTGATTGTGAGTGTCCAGCGTGTCCTCCAATCATCAAATCGCTCCGCGCACAGCAAAAAATGAACACAGGAGGAAAAATGAAAATTGAGGAGGAAAAATCTTGTGGTGCGGGCAAGGTGAGAGGAGAAGCAGAATAACGTGCAAGTGATCTTGGTTGGAGAGATCAGACTTGACATGGGCGGGCGGGGGCAGGGCATAACATAGAAAATCGGTTTTATTATTTCGCCGGGGGCCATTTTGGTGGACCGTCAGCCACTGACCACTAAGAAGTGATGCAAGCGCGCCAGGGGTGTCCGATTTTATTTTTTAATGCGTCGAGGAGCTTGGTTTCCCAATTTCGCCAAATGCGGCTAGCCCCAAATCGCGTTGCCAGCTGCAAGTGAGTGATCTGGGATCAGAGCTCCCGACGCGCGAAAAGTACTTAACCTCTACGTCCCCCGCCAACGTTATCTCTTCCACTTCCCATCCACCAATTGTCATCACAACAACTCTCTTCGACTCTACCATCCATCTCAATCAAGTCTTCAGACTCAACTACTTCTTTTTAATCCACCACCCCCAACAACCAATCTCTCAAAATGACTGGCGGCGGAAAGTCTGGCGGCAAGGCCTCTGGCTCCAAGAACGCGCAATCGTAAGTCTTGCCTCTTCCGCTTTGACGCGCCTTTTCGATCGCGTCTTTCACTTGATCTCTAAGCTAACATGACTCTTTAGGCGATCTTCCAAGGCTGGTCTCGCGTTCCCTGTTGGTCGTGTCCACCGTCTCCTCCGAAAGGGCAACTACGCTCAGCGTGTCGGTGCCGGTGCTCCCGTCTACCTCGCTGCCGTTCTCGAGTACCTCGCTGCCGAAATCCTCGAGTTGGCTGGTAACGCTGCCCGTGACAACAAGAAGACCCGTATCATTCCCCGTCATCTTCAGCTCGCCATCCGAAACGATGAGGAGTTGAACAAGCTTCTGGGTCACGTCACCATCGCCCAGGGTGGTGTCCTTCCCAACATCCACCAGAGTACGTTCTCCGCTTTACTTATTTACTTTACATCGTCACTAACATCTTTTCAGACCTTCTGCCCAAGAAGACGGGTAAGACTGGCAAGAACGCTAGCCAGGAGCTGTAAATGGTTCATTTGGTTCTTGTTTTTCCATGCGATGGCTGGTTGTTTGGGTTGTCATGACAAAGGGGTCACGGTTTAAGGGTTCATACGGTTGTTTTTCATCAGTTTATTCGCGCGTTAGGGTTGTACAATAATCCCCCACGGCTATGGTCATGAAATAAGAATACTTCAAAGATCTACATCATCGCGCCTTAGCTCCATTGTGAATGTTTTCGTCATTTGACATTACCATGCCCGTCTTGCTCTCGTTGTCCTGAACTTCAAAAGTCGGCTGATTGCCACTACCATTCCCTTATGATCCGCATTCAAATGTTGTTTCCAGCATAACCATTTGCTTGCTGTGATTAGCTTTCCAACATGCACCATTGATAAAATTCCTGGCGCTCGTAATTTCGGGTAGATGCTGATTCTTGTGGCCGAACCTCAACCTCGTTCGCACTGATGTGGTACTTGAATGACCAAATTCATTTGATTCATGCTACAGCCCTGTCCGCGAGTCCATCTGTATCCTCTTCTATGTACATATATCCTCTCATACAGCCCAAATAATCCAGTCGAGTTTTTAGTGTCGGTTGACAGGGTGTGGGGGAGCTGTTCAAGTATCAGTTTCCGGATTATCCATGGCTGGGTGCCACCGGGTAGGTACTCACGGTCGAGAACAGGCGACGGGAGGTTTCGCTCGTACTTGGAACCTGCGGCGGTATCGTTAGCATTCTGCACAAGACTCTTGCCGTATGCTGGCGAGACATACCTCCGGGGGCTGTCGGGGGAGTATAAGGGTCGGGGTGCTTCCAGCTCTCTAGCAGCTTCTCGGTCTCGGTCAATAGAGCCTGTGCATCGGAATCAGCGGCGAGATCATCTTCCAGTCGCCAATTAGTGACAAACCCTTTGATGCCGGGGATCGGTGACATTGCGGTTGGCCTCGAATAGTGAGCGAATATACATAGCCTGGCCACGCCACAGGTGTCGATGGACGGCCCAATCTAGCGCCAGCTTCAATGAGCGGCGGTAGAGGGATCTGAATATGATGACAGTCAGCGCACGGAGCTCGAGAAATCGGCAATCGCTGGGCCGGCGGTTCGGGAGGAGGTAAAGGTTACTGACAAGGCAGCTCGTCGCGTCGACATGGTTTGTGAGGTAGTGAGAGTACGCGTGACCGGGCCCAGTCGAGAAAGGCTCCTCGCTATCGGGCAATTGGTCGGTTTTCGCGGGGATGTCTGCCGTCTGGCGTTCGCTCGAGGGTTTCGTTGTTATGCTGGCCGTCTCGGTCGAGGTTGGGATACCACGAAGAATGTCGACAATGACGGCAAAGATTTGGTGCCTTGTTGCCTCGTTCCGACGAATAGCCGATCGCCTTGGCCTACCCTGTACCTCAACCAATATCGATTCAATGTGTTACTGGTTCGACCTAGGCTTCTTGAACAAGCTTGACGGTCTTATTGGAGCTTCTATATATTATCTATAATGGTCTAGTTTGTTGGAAGCTCGATTGAACTAAGCTGGCGGCTCAATGTCGATATTTAGATAATGGTTGCTGATTTAACATGGATATGACAAGAAAGTACTTGGTACCACTAAGTGAATTAGAAGAAGATTTTAAGCTCAGCTACCATGTCGGCTGCATTGAAAAACCCGTCTCAGAGGAATGAAAACGAGTGAGAATTGATGTTCCTTGACCAGGTTCAAAATTCAACGTTGCTGATACCAATATGAGCTATTCAAGTGGTGCTGAGACAGCCTGGTACAACAGCAATTGTAGTGCATGGACCAATATCTGAATTAGTATTATGCGATATCCTATTGGTTGCCTTTTAAGCTGCCAGAAAGAGGTAACTTCGAGCTGAAACTGCTGGTCGGGGATAGCCGCGCCACATGTGGCATGTTGAGCCACACTCGCCATACCTCAGCTCAAAACCTTGACTTAGACACTCCAGAAATCACTGAGGGCATCGTAGTCAGAACTCTGGTACTATCATTGAGCACTCAAATTCGAGATCTCAGTAACCTCAATTGCCTTGATGTATCCGGTCAAAGAATAGTCGGGCTGGCCATTTGTGTCTGTTTGGCAGTACATGAAGGCATGAGACGTGACCGAGGTTGTGGAATCTCTCGAACCTAACAGAGATGGACTACAGTAGGAGCAACGACAAGTGCTCAGCGAATCCGTTCAATTGAGCTGATACAGAATACTATGAGTAGCCCACCGGAGTTTCACTGGTAGCGCATTGAACGAGATGCATGCTGAGCTGGCTGATACAGAGTGGATGTTAGCGAGGCAAGAAAGGGGCAACGAAGGCGTTTATCTAGATCGATCTGAAAACCTTCAATCTTCTGCTTACAAGATTTTCCATTAAACATGATGGAAATATTCAGAGTGAGACGGAGCATTACTTACACTGCACCACGGAGCAATGCCCAATTGTAGTTCATGACGGGGTTACCCAATACATCAGCAGGCTGAAAACAACTTGACAAGCATACTGGAAGAGATCATACCAAAAAGCTCAGAGACAGAAACTAGAGAGACACAGTAAGATGGGGCTATGTATGATTAGCTGTGAGCTAAAACAAGGGTGAAGATGCAGCTGTATCCAGGATGATGGTGAAACTTGAGAAGCATGGACGGTATCTGGGCGCCAAAACAATGGAAAACATCACTAATATGATATAAAGGAGCCCCAATTATATATGGACTGTCCGTCGGAAGCTGTAAATTGCGTAAATACATTTGTCCCGGGTCCGCAGGCCACCCTGTGGGCTTGGTGTAAACACCCCAGGGTACGCTTCTCAAGTTGAGAACAGTATAAACATGCCCCCTGGAGGCCTCACGTAGCCCAGTGTCAACTGAAGGCCGTACTGGATTTTGAAGAATGGCTCCATGATACATAACAAACAGCACACACCTTCTTATGGAGGAATGGGTGGCGAAGAAGGGAGACTGGATACAAGTCTAAAAGGTGTGGATGGGAAACCTGAACTTGTGAAGGAGCCATCTATGAGTGATATGATTTGGTAAAGAGTGACATAAAAGTATCTTCTTCAGCGAGAAGGTGCTATGGTCATTCGACCTAGTCAATGAAGCTGGCACCGTGCAGTTGGAGGAGGACTTAGGCGTTACCTCGGGGTCTTGGTAGATAAAGAATTCTACTGCGAAAGTGGTTCATACCCTGCACGCAGTGCCCAAGTATTGCAAGTTTTTGTCGTCTGGCGAATGTCACCATCGAGTCACTGTATATCTGGACCATCAGATGTCTCTCACATTACTTACTCTATCCGCTGGTATTGTTGATCTTGCGTCCGCGCTCCCCGCGACAATCTCTGCAACCAGTGAAGCGGGTCTTGACGAGGATATGAACTTCGGCCGTGAGTCGGACTTCTTGAAGCGTATGTTTATCTAGAAACAATTCGACGGCATATTCAATACCGACACAAAGTCATGAAAGGGGTGCCGCCAGCAACTTGTAAGCAAAAGTTACCGTTAGGAACGGTTAGACGTAACAGCCATGACCCCTATAACTGAGGTCGACGAAACGTAACTCACAGGTATTTTGATCTATCCAAGTTTCGACACTCAACGTGAGCGAAAGCCTGTTGGAGACCTTCCAACACGAGTTACAACATGGTCGTTGCCGTTCGAGTTGAAACGAAGAAAGAACTTGACAAACTTTGGGGTGATTGTGTGATGGCTGGGAGAACCTAATATGTACTGAAATGCCATCTACAAGGCGAATCGCGACGTCAAAAGGCGAGTGTCATGGACCTCAAGAGGAGAGCTGGTTCTGCTGGCATGTTACCAAGAGGGGTCACACTGGAATCATTCAGAACAGAAGAATTATAGCCGAGAGTCATTGAGTACGAATGATTGATGGTGCAAATGAGGTCAGAAAAGTATGACCAGGGCGCAAGTCTGTCACATAAGATAAGCTCCGAGCCTTGGTCTTGGTAGGGGCGAGGGTGAATATCTACGCAGAACAGCATATCAACCTCCGATGGGTTGAATGATAACCAAACCTTGCCACTGGCCTGTCCCAAAGACTGCTATTCTTATGGAAGCAGAGTAGAGGCTAGACAAGTGCCAATGGGGAACGAGACTGGCCTTGGAGATGATGTTACAGCAAGAAAAACCAGCACAGTTTAGGCGAGAAGACTCATATTCTTCCTTGTTCATGTAGTTCAACTGACGAAATCTGACTTGGGTATAAATCTTGCTAGTATTGACCCTTGAGAGTCCTCCTGAAATACTGATCAGTACACTGATCAGTACGACTACACTTACGCATCCAAGATACACAAATCTGCAGCACTCTGTGCTTTAAAAGATATTTCTCAACAATGAACTGAACGAGAGGGGGGGAGTGAAACCAAAAATTAAACGACAGCATCCACGATACCGCATAGAGCGAGCCAAATTGGTCCCCGAAAACCATCAGCTCATGCTCACACTTAGCTGAGAAAGGCCGCAGGGTATGCCCAAGAGATACTAATATGAGCAGTTGGCAGTATCTTCAGACACGAGTTGAAATCGAATTGGTACTTATCCATGAAGGATGGGGTTTCCCGTGCATTCGACGGGTGTCCAGCCCAATCACTGACCTTCTGGCAGACGTGATGCCAAGTAACAGTCCGAGGACAAAGCTTTATAAGCGAATCGTAAGCTAGATCATCCATGATGATCAAAGACTTGTGATAGAGAAGCGTTGTTAGGCGGGCCCATTGGAGAAGGGCTAGAATACCTTCATGCCACTGATTGGCAAGGCGCCCGAAAACCGTAAGGGACATATCAAAGAAGGAGGCATTCAGCAAAAAAGACTCACTCTTCTCCTGTCTAGGTATGTCAGCACCATAAGGGAAAAATTGATGTCCCATCGACACAATTGGGTTGGACCAGTAGCTACACCAAATCTGACCTCCCGCGGCTCTGCAAACAATATGAACCAGGACGGCCTCAACCACCATCAGTGGCAAGAGGGGCTATGGATGTGCCGGCTCTATGTGTCATTGCTTTTTGCGAGGTACGCCAACCTTTTTACTGTTCGATATGCATCAAGTTGCTGCGGGAAAACACGATTCATCATCACTCCATGGCATGCGTATGTGAGACTGGACGATTACATGGTAACCACCTAGATAGGCCTAACTATACCTGTCAACAGAAATTTACTTCTCAAGTTGCTGGAGGTGTAGTGAATGGAAGCATGCATCTTCATCACCAACCTTCTCAGTTCTTGTTTGTGAGTCCACTGCCAAACCATGTTGCAACTTTAACAGACTCTTACCCCGGAGGACCGTAATGCTAAATGAAATGCATAATAATTCCTGTCTTGACTCTAAATGCTCAGTACTTTACTATATCATGCAAATATAATGCCAATATTTAAGATCTACAAGTGGGCAACTGGTGTTTTGAGAAGAGTAAATATGCATAGAGAATGAATAATGTCTGGAGCTCAGTAAAGATATTCACAAAGAGCGGCGAACAGGTAGAGAGACTGTTGGGAGTCTTGTGCAATTAGATTGCGTGCAGGTTATGCACTGAGAGTTATGCACACCTTATTATGTTATCCACCCTCGCACTACCGCAGTTACCAATGTACCTTTCTCGCAAGGTACAAAGCACCGAAGCTTGTCAGCCCCACATATGGAGAAGCACAAAGCTGGCAGTAACATGGATATGCACATAAGCGAGGATTACAGTGGTTAGATACCTATTAAACTATAGGTACTAAATTAGCAAGGCATTTTATTAAACTATTAATTAATTAATTAAACTATCTAACTGGGGCCTTTTTAATATAGCCTAGCTAATTTCTAAAAGAGGAATAAAATATTATATATATATATATATATATATTTTTTTTTTTTTAAAAAATAGCTTTTTTAATTAAAATACTTTATTAATTAATATTTAATAATTTAATTTTTTTTTAATATAATAAAATTTTATTATTTTAAAATTATTATTAAATTAAATTTTTTTTTAATAAATTAAGATTTTATAATTTTTTTTTTAAAAAAGTAATTTTATTTAAAGTTTTATATTATTAATTAATTTATATTTTATAAATTTAATTATTTATAAGTTATTATTTTAATTATAAGTTTTTTTTTTAATTAAATATTATTTTAAAGTTTTATATTATATTAATAATTTTCTTAAATAACTTAAATTTATATAACTAATTAACTTAATTAAGCTATAAATAACGATAATTATTTTAATTAAGCTAGACTTCCCCTTTAATAAAAAGTTCTTTTTAATAATTATAATTATTATACCCTTAGTTTAAACTATTACTTTTTTTTATTAATTTTACTTTATTTAATTTTATATATTAAAAGAGAAGTAATATTATAGCTATATATAAAGTAATATAATAATAGTATTTTTCTTTTTTAATATAAATATAATATAAGGTATTATATATTATATTAGAAAAAAAAATATAATAATCTTAATATTAAGTTAATAAATTATATAGCTATTACCTTAAACCTTAAGATATAAACTAAATAAATAGCCTTAATTTATAAGTATAAAGAAAATATTTCCTTTATTAATAATAAACTAAATTCTCTTTTTATTATTAACCTCTTAATATAATTGTTATTATTATAATAATTATAAAGCTTTATAAGAAAATAAACCTAAAATTATAATTCTTATTATTTAAAATATATTATTATATATTTATTATTAATAATAATTAACCTAGCTATAATTATTTAATTAAGGTAATTAATAAATATTTAATTACTTAATTAATTAATACTAATAATATTTAATTTATAAAGATTTAAAGCTTATATTTTAATCTTTATTATTATAAAACTATAAATAAATACTTACCTTATATTAATATATTATAATTAATATAATAAGTTAATCTTATTATCTTTAGTTATTAGGTATTAATTAAAGATATTATATAAAATAATTACCTTATTAAATTTATTAAATATTAAAAAAGAGTATTAAAAGGCCTAATTAATTAATTAAAAAAAGGCATAAATATATTAGTATAATAGTAAGCTTTTATTAATAGTATTATATTAATTAGTAATAATATTATATACTTAATATAATTTAAAAAGTTAAAAAGTAAAGTCTAGTTAATTAAATTAAAAATATAAATATTTTATTATAAGAAATAAAGGTAATTATAAAGTAAAGGAAAGGAAATAAGGAGGAAAAGAAAGGGAAGAAGTTAAATTAAGAAATAAAGGTTTTAATATTTAGGAAAAAACCTATAAAGGCTAGTTAGTAAATTAAGATTAGCTTAGCTAATTAGTACTAAATTAGATTAGGTTATAAGATAAAGTAGTAATAATAAATATAGTAAAATAATACTTAAGTAATTTTATATATAAGGTTAATTAATTATATATCTTATTATATATATTTAATTAATTAAGCTAGTTATAACTTTAAGTTAATTTAACTTTTATTAACTAATTTATATAAATAAACTTAATGTAATTCTTTTAATTTTAATTTTAATAGAATTTCTAAACCCTGCTTTTACCTTATATTTATCCTAAAACTTTATATATAAGCTTCCTATCCTTACTAATTTAAAAATAGCTCTCTAGTAATATTAACTGCCTTTATAAATATATTAAAAAGCTACTTTTTATATATAGCTAAGTTACTTATAAAGGTAATAAAGAAGGCTATTTTATTTAATTAAAAAAAAAATAACCTTCTTTTAAGGCTATTTTTAAATCTTTAAAACCTAATAGCTTATTATTAATTTAATTTAAATTAATTAAATTAATATAATACCTTTTTTTTATATAATTAATTAATTAAATTAAGCTATAATTAAAAATAATTACCTTAATAAAATTACATTTACCCTTTAATAAGAAGTTCTTTATAATAATAATAATTATTATATATATTATTTAAAGTTCTTTTTTATTAATTACCTTTAAGACAGGCCTAATAGCTAAATTAAAATTATTATTATAATCCTAGTAGTTATATTTTATATACCTTATAAAAACTCCACTATACTAACTAATTAAGGAAAGACTAATAGATATAAGAGTAATAGCACTTTAAGATTATATTACTTTAGGATTAATAATAACCTTAAATTATATTACTTTTATAAAATTATCCTTAATATATACAATATACTTATTAATACTTTTATAAAACTTAACTTACTAGTTATTAATAAGACTTCTTTACCTTAATAAGCCTAAATTATATTATTAATTATTAAGAGATATAAGACTTTATTATTACTTAATATAATATTTTATAATTTAATAAATATAAAACCTAATATAAACTAGTTTATTTATTTAAAAGACTTAATTATTATATATT